CTGACCTTGTTGCTGATAATGTTCGTAAGAATTTTGAGACTTGCCGGACAAAAAAAGGAAAGCAAAAAAGAGCCGACCTTGTTGCTGACGTTCCTTCTAATGATTTTGCGATGTGCCGGCAAATGACAAAGCGAAATAATGACTTTCAACAACATACATGAGCCGCCTGGCCCCCTCAAAAAAGTCTAGCCACAACAATTAGTGGCAGGACGCCCTGAGACGCGCGTCAAAAGCCGCCGGAAGAAGCCGCAAAAATGTGGCGTTGTGAAATGCATGGGCACCGGGATAAATGCAGGAAGATGTGGGAATAGACGGGGGTAGTTGCGGCTTTTTCCCCGGGAAATGTGTCCATTCCGCAGCATCCCACCATCCGAATTATTGATGACTTCGCTCGAGATGGGCGACTTCCGTTTCATGCAGAAATCGGATGGGTAGGGCGGTTAATTTGGAAGCCTACGCCTAATCCGAAGTCTAGGCCTAAGCCTAAGCCCATGTATAAGCCTAAGCCTAAGCCCAAATCATAAGCTAAACTTAAGCCTACGGCCAAGCCTAAGCCTAAGACTAACCTAAGCCCAAGCCTCACCTACACCCAAGTTTAAACCTAAGCCCAAGCCCAAGCCTATACCTCAACCCGAGCGTAGACCTTAGCCAGAGCCTCCGCCTAATCCAAGCCCAAGCTATCTGAAAAAGCGTAACCGTGAGGCAAGAACACCTGACTGCAGATAGTAGCTTCAGCGGCGTGGTCATCTGATCCCGGTGGGTATTGGGTGTCGACCGATTGCATTTCAAGCTTCCACCGACAGTGCGATGCCAATATACGGATCCAATTGTTGGACGGGCGGCAATTATAATCTCTCGGTTCCGCGTTGCGCCCATCCACAATTCGTTTCCAAAATTATTCCCGCTGTGCGCGTGAATAACGGAAATAAAAGCCAGTGGACGCTTGAGGGGAAATCAGAAAAGTGCGGCGAAGCGGGTAAAAGGTAGGTTTTACAGGCTTTTAAAGGGACAGCAATCGTAAAGAGGGCAAAATCGTGAAAAAAAAGCAGCGAACGCACAGGACGGGTTTACAGAGGAGCCGCGTGTAGTTTGGTCATAGAAAACCCAGGGTGCTTTCCATTAATCATGTTTTCGTGCGAGGAAATTTGCTGAAGTGAACCAGAATCGCGGAAAATGCCGTTTTTATACCTAAAAACTGTGCACAATGCTATAAAAAATGGTTGATAATTTGTCATAGGTCCGTACAGGATTACTGGGAAACTTAGTGCCCCCCGCTAACAGTCCAGTACCAGAATGTTTAGGAAAAACGTTTTTAAAGGGGCGAAAGGGAAAAGTAGCGCGCAAATACAACTGTCCAGAGTAGCGCCGTGTAGTTTCCCTTTTTTCCCGTGTAGTTTCGTAAAAAAAAATTGGGCGTTTCCCCCTCTACTCCTCTCCATCTCGATATTTGGATCGTAGTGTCGTTCTAAAGGACTTGTAAAGGCAAAATTGAGCCAGGTAGTTTTGCGCTCGAGAATCTCGGAAATCCAGACGGCAAAATATTGAATTTGGGCGCGGGATCAAGTCGGGTGAAAGCAGGTAGTGCGAGCCGTGGGTGGCGTGTGGATGGGTATGGGCGGCAACGAAAGCGAGACGCGGCAAACTATCAGGGCCGGGCATCGGCCATATGCACAGCCAGACATCGGCCGGCCCGGGCGCGAAATGACAGCCGCATGCGGAAGCACGCAGCACGGAGACGACGACAAGCCTGTCCCGCGGCGCACGGCCCAAAACGGGGCCTGCCAAGCGCGGAAAGCTGCCGCCTGCTGAGCTTTGACTAAAAAATGGCTTTTAACAAAAAGTTCACAAAACGTTCAGGGGATTGTACGTTTACACCGATTTACGCAGAGACGCAGCTGTCCATAGGTGTATACCGTTCTTTCGCAGTATCGGGCGGACTACTTTTGTCTTCGGATCTAGCTTTTCAAAAAAATATAACTCGTGGAACTGTTTTAAGCGTTTTTACTATACACACAAACGCGAAAACTCCAACACTTCATTCAAAAATAACAAAAATCGATTTTCCGACCACACTGGCTCTTTTGACCAAAATGTCGACCTACTTATTTAAATTTTTAAATAGTTTTTCTAACTTGAATAGTTATTTTCCTAAAAAAAATATTAAAACACGTCCTATTCAATTACAAGACCACTCAGGCAAAAAGTTCGGTGGAAAATGGCTTTCTTATGATTTCCGACGTTTTGAACCTCAAAAGTAGCTTCCTAAACAAAAATAAATGCATTTAACAGCTTCAAAAATTAGTGAGGCAAAGAACTAAGCGGGGAAGGCTTTTTGACAACAACTTTCCTTTAATTTTTGAGCTCAAAAACCGATAAATTGAGTGGTGCCATACATTTATTTTTATTTTTATTGTACGCTCTAAATAACTAATAAATGTATTTAAAAGATTCAAAAACTGTTTTTTTTGGAGCATAAGCTTCACCCTAGCGAAATCGATGTGCCCCATTTTGCGCCATACCGGTGGGGCGATAAGCGCAAGCCGTTACACGTTAAAGCCCACGGAAACAACCATGTACGGGGAGGGTGGAGAATGGGCTGCGAGAGCCGGATCTCGATGCAACAGGAACCAGTCGTACGATCGGGTAATGGGCTCTCGACCGCATACATACAGGTGATACACCCAAAATGTGGTATCTAGGGCCGGGATTACTTTTTCTAGGTTTTTGCATAGCCATAAGCTAGCTGGGCACGGACTTTCAAACATTCTAAAAATATTCTTCTAACTATCTAACAATGAAAAACTACTAAAAGTATGATTAAAATACACTCTTTATTATTAACAGACACAGACGGAAAACAAAAATTAGTTTTCTCCCTGCTAGACCGGAAAAAACGCCAAAATCCCGAAAGCCAGAAACCACAGATTTTAAAACGATTTATGAGTAAAATGACCAGAAAAATAACATTTTGGCTGTCGGTATTATGGATGTCGGGGTTATGGTTAGAATTCCTGCCTGGCCCCCCCCCCCCCGCTATTCGTGCAGTACCGCCTAGCTGTAGCTAACAGGAAGCTCGAAAATTCGGTAAAATTTCGCAGGAGAAAACGACGGGGGATGGAGATGTGGGTAGTAGGGAAAAGAAGGGAGCTGAATGAGGATGAGGGGGTCAGAGAGAGAGAGAGAGGTGCAGAGCTGAAATCCCCTCGATTGGAGGGGGGTCAAGGACATGAGTAGCAGCCGATCGAGGGGGAGAGCCCCCGCAGGCCATTCAGCCCCCAACCAACACTACCTAATAACGGGTTGAGGTTTCGGGATTAATGATTGGGAAATAGCGACAAGCTCGAGCTCAAGCTCCCGTGATATCGATTGGATCAAATTAACATCGCGGCCAAACGAGCGGAGAAGAGTTTTATCCCCCCCCCGGCCTCCAAATTTTATGGCTAGGCTTCCCGTGATCGTACAGGTGTGTAAAGTATACCAAAATGTTCATATTGTTGTGGAGAGTATTTTGGTCTACTTTAAAAATCTGTAGAACAACGGGGAGCAGAGTACGCCACGAATTACTGGAATCTGGCGCCTAAGCAACGAACGCTCCTTTCGACGCAAAACGTATGGGGCTAAAACTTCAAGCCCTATAACTTTTAAACTAAAGCTAATCTTGAAAAAAGCTGATTCCAAGTTTTAGAGTGAAACGAGGCGGTTCGAATGATATGAGGAGTTACGAAACTAATTGCAAAATCATGAGAATACCAGGATTAACATAACCGCTATTTCATCACAGATTCAAATCGATATTACTCGAAATACAAGGCACTACTCATTCCGGCAATAACAGTGGCCGTATGGCCTGGTTTTCGCCGGTTTTTGCCCAAATCTTTCTGATCCTCGTTTGGCTATTGTTGAGCGCCCACGGCCAAGAGCCGACCCCCGACCCTGGCAAGCAAAAACGCATCGACGGTTGGTGAAAAACAGAAATCCCATCCCAACCGACAAGTTCAGCATTCCGGAAAACAGTCGGCGATCAGGACTGGGTGCCCACCCTCGACCTGTATGATCGCTTTGATTTTGTAGGAAAATTCGTGCAAAATTCCACGTTTTAATCTGCCAGAGCGGCCTGCGCGAGATGAAGATGAACGTGCTGGAGGCGTTCCGCCACGACATCGACTGCCCGTTCATCGGCGAGGGCGAGCGGTTGTTGCGGTATTTGAATTCATTGTCTATGAATAGAATTGGGGTTCTTTATTTAGGAAAATACGATTTTTCAGGCAGCGTGAAGGGCGCTGTCCCCGCGAGAATGACGAAGAGTGGGTTCTCTTAAACTGCAAATAGCTCGCCTAGTGGAGTCTGAGCTACTGTATCTCAGCTCCCCGTTGTCGTACAGGGTTTTAGGGTATACCAAAATGTTTGGCTTGGTCTTGCGCGTCTTTTAGTATATTTTACAACCCTTCAGATGAACAGGCAGCCGAAATACAAAAGTTAAAATGGGGGTTGGGGTGAACTATATTCGTTCTTTCGTCGTATTTCCGCATTTTCTAAGTCCAGAAATGTCTAGTAACTAATATAAACTGTTTTAGTAGTATTTTTAGTCTTCTGTACCTATTTTTAACCCGAAAAACTATCTAAAAACTTTAGAAAATCTTTGAAAAGTCGAAATTTTGCTCAAAATCGGCCAATTTTGGTAAAAAAAAAATCGATATTTTGATATGTTTTTGATAAAAATTTGTAGATTTTACGTTTAGGAATGACAAAAAACAATAGATATTGCGAAAGAACCACTACATTACTTCCAGAAAATCGTCGAATTCCTCATTTTCGCGGATGCGCGACAAGCTGAGGCAAAAGCGGGTGAAGGGCCGCCGGAAGCGCTTCAACGCCATCCAGGACGCCAAGAAGCATGTAATTTTCTGTGTTTTGACGAGTTTGTCCTTTAGGTACTAAACTTTGCGACGTTCGGGATGTTGCGGGGCGATTCGCTGAAGCTGCCGCCGACCGGGGCCTCGATGCTCATCCTCGAGGGACAATGGCTGACGCTGAGATGTGCTCTGAAGAAGGATGAAGATAAGGTAATTTTTGGGTGCTTTAGCAGTAGCGGGGGGTGTTTCGAAACGGCTTTTTACTAGTCCTAAACGTTGAAACTTTACAAAATTGTGTTAAAAAATGTCAAAAATATCGATTTTACGACCAAAATGGCCGATTTTTTACAAAAGTTCAGACTTTTTAGATTTAGATAGTTTTTCTGGTTTTTTCTATTTTATTCAAAACGCTATTAAAAACTTCTTATTAAGTTACTAGACATTTCTAGACTCATACAACAAGATTCGACGTGATATACGTTTCCAGAATCAAACAGTCTGGGTGGTAAATGGCAACACGATCGAGCCGAACTACTACGAGTGGCGCATCAAGGCCGAGGCGGACATGTTCGAGGTAGGTCTTCAGCTGACACTCCCGGTAGGGCTTTTTCTAGGTTTTCCCGACCGTCCTCGACGACGCCGGCATTTTCGAGTGCCTCTACGAGGACCAGCTGCGCGGTTTTGCCAATATCACGATCGTTACCCGATGGGTAAGCGTTTAAGTTGAGATTCCAGCTCGAATTCTAGGCCGCAATCTGGATGGGCTACCAGAATTACATGACGGTGATGTGCGTGTTTTTGCCGCTGTGGGTGGCACTCCTCGGCAGCAACTTTTTTGCGCCGCCACCGGTATGACCTCGTTGTACGATCGAGCAGATTTTTGGCCTCAGAAGTTCAAGAAGAAACATGGGAAATGGGGCGACGCCTACATCGAGCATCGCCTGAACGACAATGTATCTAAGGCAAAGGTAAGCTGGTATTCTTGGGAAATGGCCAAAATTATGGTAAAAAATAGTTTAGAAATAGAAAATATAAGTAATAGAAAACGTAAAAACGACCCTTTTACCAGGAATCGATTGCCCGCAAAAAGTTTGGCGACGACCTCGAGAAGCAGAAGGAATTCCTGCTGAGAAGCCAGTACGGGCCAGCCGGTGAGTCGATTTAAACCAGAAAAACCTTTTACTACTAACTGCTAAAAACTACTACAAAGTTTAAAAATACGTTAAAAAATTCGCTATTTTCAGAAACCGCCGCCATCAACCGACGCATCATCCAGACTATTCTCGACGGCTGCCGTTAACCCCATTTCCCCCACTTTTTTACGTTAATATTCAACAATGAAATACAATCTTTATTTGTCGAATAAAATGTACAAACAGACAATGGCACTAAAGCGTTGAGGTATCTGGGGGCTGAGGTATCTTTGGGGTGGATTGAGTGAGATCTATGAAATATGTACACGCGGAAGTGCAAAATAATATAGCATTTGTTCGAGATCATTCTAATGTCGGTGCTGAGGTCATATGGCTAAAATCCCGTCTATCGATAGACCCTGGTGTGGAGCAAGAGCAGGAGCAAGAGCTGCTAATCCTCGTTTAGCTTTTTCTTTGTACATGATTTAGTTGTCGTTCAGCCACTTCATCCAATTCTCGTCGAGCGGCTCGTCGACCGGTGGGTCGCGTTGCTCCAGTATATGTTTCTGGGGCTTCGGGGTTGAGCCTGAAAGGCATTTTTATTATGCGTTTTCGATACTTTAGATGTTTTTCTCTGATAAATAGTGTTCTTCTACTCACCGGTGAAGCGGAACGGCGTCTGCCGGAAGCCCATCGCCTCCGTCAAAACTACGTTGATGCCGATGGCAATTTCTTTGGACGCCGGCAACAAGAGATCCTTTTCCAGGATGAAGCCGTATTCTGAAAATGTATTTTAGAATGCCAAACTTCTCGCGCTTACCTTGTGTCACTGGCCGGACTTCGATCGTGTAGGCAAATTCGGGCTCCAGCTCGCGCTCCACCCAATCCATCGAAGAGCCGGTGGAGGTATCTGTAAATTTTTTATTTCCGGAATTTACTTGAGAACGCCGGGTGTTAGCGCCCAAAGTTACTTCTCAAACTTACAGAGAGCGTCGGCGGGCGTCGCGTGACCATAGCGGGTACCGTTATACGCGTAAATGGCGTCGATGGCCTTCTGCGCAACGTAGATCTGAAAATATTCGGTTTATTGAGGATTATGGGCTTTTTCAAAGTCCATAAATACCAAGAACTGCCCCGAAAAAACCCACCGTGCGCTCGACGTTTCGCGTGTAGGTGTTCTGAGCGTAGGCGTAGGGGTAGAGCCACAATTGGCCGTGAGAGTGGAGCGTGATGTAGGCCTCAAGAGCCGGCAAAGTTCGCAGCCAACGACTGTACGTCCTGCAAGGGTTTTTGGTTTGTTTCTCACGTTTATCACGTATTTTTCTGCTTTTTTTTGCATTTAGCATTTGTGGAAGATTTTCCTAGGCCGTACCTGGTCTCGGAAGCGCTGAAAGGCGAAGGGCCGGCATAAACATCGCTGCACGGATCCTCGCTGGCGGAAAAGGCGAGGTCCCAGTTGCGATTCAAGTCGACGCCCTCGCAGCAGCGACCTTCGAGCGGTGCAGCGCTTTGGCGAACGGTTTTTGCGCCAAAGACGGTGCTGAAAAAATAAAATATTAAGCATAAAGTTACTAAAAAAGCGCTTGCTATAAGCAAAACAAAATTTTCACTACACAGCTTCCCAAATCCTTACCTTAAAAGGCTGCTCATCCGCATCCCAAGTAAAACTAAACCCATCGGGGTTCAGCACCGGGATGATGACAATGTTGAAGGCGTCCACCAGCGCCCGCACTTGCAGATCGCCCTCCGACAGTCCGTTGCTGTACTAATTTTAAAATTAGGTATTTGAATTAGGAAATACCTGCTCGACGAGGAAATAGGCCACGTGGATGGCCGTCCATTCTCGGGCGTGGATCCCCGAATCGATGACGACGTACGGGTTCGCCGGGTTTACGCCAAACTAAAGCAAAATTTGTAAGAATAATTATAGATATCTAGAAACTGACGATGTCTATCAGAAAAGTTATTACCTGAATTCCAAGAATCTGACGGCCCTCTTCGCTGGTGCCAACCTGCAGCAGCTTCGTCGTGTCTTTGTGCTGCTTGGCCACCTGAAGCCCAAAAAGGTTATGGAATTCTCAAAAATAACTCACGCTGCGCAAGAATGTTTCAATCTGCTCTAGCGAATAGTAGTCGCCGCTTCGCAGGGGCTCATCTTTTGGCGGTAAATCAGGGAATAGCCTGAAAATACGAATATAAAAAAGGTCCAAAAACGCGAATTAAGGTATCAAAAAATTAAGAATATAACTCACGCATTAAAATGGTTGTAGATGGCCTCGTGGGACGATGGGGGCGCTAGTTCTGGCGAGGACACTGGAGCGCTAAAAAATTTTTTTTCGTGGTCCAAAAATACGATTTCCGGCGCAAAATTTCTTTTCTTTCTAAAAACCGTAAAATACCAACCTATTAATTAATCTGATGAGAAGCGGAAGACATGCCAAATACGGAATCATCTGGCCGACAGGGTGGGGGAGGCGAAATAAGGTTGAAAACCCTGAAAAGTGTCGAAATCGTGGATTGTTTTCCAATGCCGACAATAGTAGAAAAAGTGAAAACAATGGCGGGTTAGCAAAGAAGATCGTCTGCTGATTGCCGAAACAGGATTTCTGGCCGGGGCGGGTCACGCGCTAATGGTGGGCAATAAAATCCGAGTTGAAGTTTTTAACAAAAAAAAGGGGGGGGGGGCATTGATGGTGGAACTGTTTCCGGGTTTGGCGAAGAAAAAGCCGCGAGTTTTGTAGACCTATCAAAATGGAAGGTAGAGGTCGATAGTACTCTGCAGCGTGAAACTGGCGAAAAGGAGAGCGATTGGATCATTTCCGAAGTTGGTCGGTGCGAAATGTGGCAGGATGTGGGTGATTTCAAGCGGGTACACCCGGTTGCGCCCCGGATTTGATTGATAGCTGCCGCACCACTCGTCAATAACAACTTTTCGTCGATGATACGCGTGGTGGGAGCCGGGTTTGAGAGATCAGACAATTTAGTCTTTGGATGGGCAGATCTTTGGCGATGGGGATGGGGAGGTGGAAGCTAGCGCGGTTTGAACGGGTGATCGTGCATTGGGAAAAAGTGGAGCGGTTTGAGTGACGTGCAGGAAATTGCATGGACTGTCCGTTACGTCGAAATGAGAAATCGGGTTTTGCAGAGAGATTGACAAATCAAAAGGTCAAAAGATCGAAATATTGGGAGCCAGCGAGGGATCGCCGCGGAATTTAGGAAAACAGGCACGGAAAGGTGACAAAAATGTTTTGGAATAGATGAAAAACAGGGCAAGCTAGCAGTGCTTTTTTGGGACGAGATGACATACCGGGCAAACTAGCAGTGATCTTTTGTGAAGTTTTGGGATGTTGCAGGGCAAGCTAGCAGAGATAATTTGAGACGAGCTGACATAAAAGGCAAGGAAGCAGAGACCATTTGGGGCTAAATGGAATACGGAAAGCTAGCAGAGAGCATTTGTGAAGGGAGGACAATTGAGGCCAAACTAGCCGAGATCAAAGGCTTTTTCAGGATTAAGCTTGTCGATTTTTTTGTGAAAATCAGAAAAAAGGCAAGCTAGCAGGGATTCTTTGGCGGAAAGGCTAACGGGGGGGGGGGGGGGATTTAGCTAGCAGAGATTTTCGGGAGAAGGGACCACAGACTTCTGCATCACGCAATGAATCGCTTGTTAGGTAATCTTATGAACTATCCCTACGCTAAAAAACAATACACAACCCTACCAACCGGATACCCCCCATCCCTTATATACCTTGCCACTTTACAATAAAGCTATTCATAGAAACGGGAGGATAAGTGCATTCCCTTCGCCTTATATACGATGCCCCTGATCTATTTTCGTTTGACGATCAATCATCGCCGGGCTCCTTTAAAGGTCTATGCCCGCCCGGGCGCGGAAGACGGAACACTGCGCGCGCCCAGATACACGTCAACTGGAAGTGATAGCACTCTGTTAGATTGGATAACTGACAAACAGCTGAAAAGACAGACAAACACGAGGCGATGGGGGTGTCCCCGTGTGAGAATGACGAGGTGGCAAATATTATTGGGGAGAAGGGTGGGAAAGGGAATCGAGCACCAGTGAGGGAGTACAACAATGATACACGGCATGCAGAAAACACAGGCGGACCCCGTCCGCGGGTCAACATTTTAGCAAACATCCCCGAACACGCCATATAAATACGAGGAGCTTAGCAGTAAAAAAACTATGAAAGAAAGAAAACAAAATAAAAACAGAGCCAATATACTTTAATATGTTTATTGGGGGAAATACTTTATGTGAAGACTATTTTGGTTACTGTTTTAGTAATATACTCTTTCATTAGGACTGTTCTACACTCACTCTCCTCTTATTTCAGCCAGGATCTAACAGTAGTTCATTATCCTCGTGTTTTTTCGGGTTTGATTTTTTATAGCCCTGTATAATTGATAAAAGAAAACAATTAAGTTAAATGTTTAGTTACGCTCACAAGTTTTAGCTAGTATTTCTGCTACTTCAGGGCCTTAATCGACGGATTCGACAACGATTCTTCAGAAGGCGCCAGCTTCATCTTTGTAAACCTTGCTTAATCTGTAATAACTATCTTTATTTGCAAGCAGATCTATCACTATGCTCTTTTTCAGGCTTTTATAGTTTGTTTTGCAAGTTACCGGTGAAATAGTCAGTTTCCGAACGTCAACCTAAAACTTGCCGGTCCTCAACAAAACTTCAACTGAAACTGAAGACATAAAGCATAAAGACAAGAAAAAAACTAATAAACTAAAACATTTCCCCGCTCAAGAAAGTAACATATTGATAGCGATAACTAGTAGCCAAATCTTTTCATAAAAGTATTTACCGAATAAACGTGTTCAAGTATATTGGCTTTGTTTAAAGTAGTATATGGATAGTGATACGCATAATACAAATAGAGAAAAAGCCCGAAAAAACACGAGGATAATGAACTATTGTTAGATCCTGGTTGAAATAAGAGGAGAGTGAGGGTAGAACAGTCTAATGAAAGCGTATGTTACTAAAACAGTAACCAAATAGTCTTCACATAAAGTATTTCCCCCCAATAAACATATTAAAGTATATTGGCTCTGTTTTTATTTTGTTTTCTTTCTTTCATAGTTTTTTTTTACTGCTAAGCTCCTCGTATTTATATGGCGTGTTCGGGGGATGTTTGCTAAAATGTTGACCCGCGGACGGGGGTCCGCCTGTGTTTTCTGCATGCCGTCAATGATACACGTGCCGATGATCAAAAACCTTTTTCGGGGTTGGAAAGCGGCCAAAAAGTTACTTTTTTCGTGCTGGATTGCGTATTGTAGCGTGCAGACTTTTTTTAATAGATTTTAGAAGACTGTAGACTGTCGAAAGTAATGAATAGGCATGACCTGATGAACAGAAAGCTACAAGCTACTTTCCGTTCTATCGCGTATTCTAGAGTACTAATTATGTTTTTGCATAGTTTATCAGTTATACTACACCCGTAAAAACGATGATAAAATATGCGCTGATCATCAAAAATCCTTTTTTGACCGGGAAAAGAACCAAAAACTTACCCGTTCCGTTTCAAGACCGCGTATTGTAGCGTGTAAATTACCTTTCTACTACGTTTATTAGATAAGTCAGCCGTCCTTCCGTTTCGCGCATTATAACGTAATGTAGCGTACATCTTCGTTTTTTTTACCATTTGATAGTAGTGCCAGATTCATTAGTAATTTTAGAAAGCTTGTTTTCTTTGATTGTATAATGTGAAACGGTACCAAAAACTCAATTTTAACGTGGAAAAGCTATAATTTCGCGTTCCGTTCGGCTCCTGTATACCATACCGTGTCGATGATTTTAGTGTAGCGTTCAGGAGTTTATTCCACAGAAATCAATTTGTAATCCTAGCAATGTTGGCTAACAGCACCAAATCTCGGGGGGTCATAAACTCACAGCAGAAGCTCAAATCAGTCTCATTTAGGGGCAAGGAAACGACATTTGTGCAAAGACGAAGGGGAACACGTTTTCAGCGAGGGTTGTAGTTAGTTGTTAAAATTCGAGGGCTTATAAGCAATTATTACAAAGGTAGGAAGAAGGGTTGGTCAGTTTTCTTTGGGCACTAGACGGCTGGCACTGGATTCAGATGGTCAGGGCCGATCAGCGAGACGTAGACGGCGTAGGTGTGCACGGCAGAGCCTGGAAAATGCTTTTTTATTACGTTTTAATGTTTTCTTAGTTTCTTTTTGTAATACAACTTTTATTAAGTTCGTTCTTTTACTACCCCATTATACCAAGCGCCTTTACCCACCAAGTAAGACGTGGACGTGCCAGATGGCGTGGGCGAACGGGACGACACCGTCGAGTTTGAAGAAAATCACGCCCATGATATAAACCACCCCGCCGGCCATCATCAGCTCCAATCCGGAGCGGTCGTTCTGAAATCGCTCATTTTTATTGGTTCTTGAAAACCTAAAAAAAAACGCTATTACGTTTCTACATACCATCGTGAACATGGCAACCGACGGAATGGTGGCGACGAGGACGTAGAGTATCGTCTCCAGCGTCTTGTACCTACAAGGCTTCGTAAAGCGTTTTAAAAACTGTAAACCAAACTCATAGGATTTGTTTTAATGTATTAAGCACTTTTTTTAGAACCCACTTTTCATGAAAATTGTACTGGTAGAGGATGCCGAGGATAGCGAAGACCCAAATCATCCACTTCAGATTCAGCCCCGGATACCCGCAGTGGCGCAGCGTCAGCCACGGCGTATACGAAGCCGCTGTAAAGCTTCAGATGCCTCGAATGCGCCTTCACCAACCAATGAACAAGTAGATGACGGCGCGGTCGCAGATGTGGAGGTAGTACCGCAAACGTTGTTTCCTGGAGAAAGATTCAATTCGTGGAAAAGCCTCGGAATTTGTTGGAAAAATGGAAACTAGAGTTTCTGCCCACTTACTGCTTCAAGGGCCTGTAAATCATTTCGTAGTAGTGGTAGAGGGTGGACGCCGAGAAGAGCATGGTGGTGAAGATGCCGTAGATGACCATCAGCATGTATTGGAGATCTCGATGCGACGCGTCGATGATGTAGTAGAAGGCGAGGATGCTCGGGATGATGCCGACCTGGAAATATGAAAAATAGAGGCTATTTCCAGCTGGAGAAAGACTCAAAATCGCCCCAAAGTAGCGATTTCCCAACGTTTTATCTCGGTTCCCCTTCATCCTACATGGTTGCCAGTATACCAAAATACACGCGAAATCAAGACGAACATTTTGGCATACTTTACAGCCCTGTGACACAAAAGATAACCGATATACAACATTTAGAGCTCGGTTTCGGGGTCAACTAAAGTTGCGCCGAAGCTATTTCCAGCAAGGAAAACCCACGCCATGAGTGCCGACGTTCGCAAGGTGTTCAAAGTGGGTGGGCTCGTACGACTCGCCGGCGCCGGGCTTTCGGTTCATGTAGGGGCTGAAAACACAATAATCCTCATAAAAAAAATTACAAACCTCAGCGCCTGGGCCTTTTTCGACGTGGACGGCGTGGGCTCCTCGAAAAATCGATCATCCTCATCTTTTACCGTTGAGGGCCTTCTAAAAACAGGATTGTAACTTTAGCAAAAATGCCTTTTACCTGACAACACCACAGCTCCCCATGCCGTTCCCCTCCCAAAGTGCCTCAGCCAGCGGCGCGATGCCGCGTCCGTCACAAGCACCGTTCAGTCGCCAGTTGCCTCTAAAATTGATATTTCAAGTGACCCAAATAATATAAAACTACAATGCCAGTAAGTCAGTCATTCGAGGCGACAAAAAAGTTAGTAGATCAGCGAATAAATCTCGCATTTTGCTCGAGGGGCGTCTTCTGTGCTTTTATGCAAACGAGTTAGGCGAAATTCGTCTTGAAAACATCGTTTTTTCGCATTCTTGCATGTATCAGACGCTTATTTTTTGAGATAAGGCAGCTGGGTCGCCACGCGCCAGCAAAAAATCCATTGTTTCTCGCACGTCTATCGCGCCGTCAATCAGAAGTTCTGCAAAATCACGCAAAAATCTAGGTATTTCATCTTTTTCACTTAGAAAACGCATTTTTAAGCCACGGTTTGAGCTTTAAACGTGAATTGAGAAATCAACGTTGTGAAGTCGTTTTGTAAAGTAGCACCGAACATCAATAGAAAAAAAAGCAGAGATTTCCCCCCGTCCGAAACACGCCTTTCAATTGGTATTATGAGACATTTATATACTTATAAGACTTGAACATGGGCAAAAACCCAATGTTTTTCATCCTGTTCCACGTACAAAAACGTAATTTTTAAACTACCGTCTGAGCTGTCAAGAATAATCATGCGTACATAAAGTTTTATAAAAGTAGCGATCAAAAAATCTGCAAAAAACGCTGCTTGCCCTTTCAAATCACGTGTTTTTCAATTAAATTTATGAGAATAAGTTTATGAGCTTCTTTTACACGGTTAAAACAATTTTTTAGAGATCATAGGAAGAACAATAGGCCGGAAACTTGCTGGAAAACAGGTCGGGAGGCAGGTTGACGTCAATGGGAGGGGGTGGGATGAGAGTGGATGGTGAGGGTAAGAGGGCGCAGACGGGGCGAGCGAGCTGGTTGGGGTCGAGGGAAGGCCGAGATCGAGAATTAGGGACAAGGATGTTTCTCCCAATGTTTTTATCTCTCATTTATCCCAAATGATGGCACGATGTCGGGGTGTCTGGTTGGGAACTGTGGCGATCACGTGCCGAAAACGTTTCTAAATCGTGGTTTGAAGACGATAAATTACGGTTCTTTCGCATTATCGAGGGGGGGGGGCGGTCTAGAAATACCTAGTAACTTAATATGAAGTATTTAAACGTATTTTAGTAAAATCTAACTGTATTTCAAGTGCAAAAACAATCGTAAAAACCGCGCAAAGAATCTTAGGCGCAATTTCGGTCGTAAACCCATATTTTTTTGGTAATCTTTAATGAAAATTTGTAAAATTTTACCTTTCCGATTAATTTGTAACATTTTAATTGTTTTTAGTAAAAGTTAACTTTATTTAAAGCGCAAAAACAATTTTAGAAACTTGGCGGAATCTTTAGGCACAATTGTCGTCGTAAAATCTATATTTTTTTGTGGTTTTTAATGAACATTTACAGTTTTAAGTTTAGGATGAGAAAAAGTAGAAAAGAAAAAGTTGCCCCTCCCCCCGTTAATGCAAAAGAACCGAAATCCCTTGGCGACCGACCGATTGCGCTGCTAGGAATATCCGCAAAGTTGAGGGTGAGCACCCGACTCGGCGGTCCCCAATCGGAGCGTCGGCAGGAGAGCTCTAAATTTCAGGCTTTCTAGGTTCCAATATTGCCAACCTTCCACAAAGGACCCGGAAGAAGTTTCTAGCTGCGAGGAATCCTCGGCTTCATCCTCGCTCTCGACAATCCGTGGAGTTCGTGGCGTGCGAATCACTGACCCATCTGGCAGCACGGAAATTATAGGACGTGATCTGCAAAGTTTTTGTTTTTCTTTCGCAGCGTAGCTTACCCGAGATCCAGCGGCTCAAGCCGGATTTGCCCGATCGACGGATCGGAGCTCGGATCTGAGCTCGAGAATTCTTCGTCAAACGCATGCCTATACGCGGATAGACGGCCAGTGGATCTATCGGGTTGTACAGGGCTCGTCGCGGCGTCTTTCTTCTATAGGTGCTTTCGCATTAACGGGGGGGGCGAACTTTTTGTAAAAGTCTAGAAATGTCTAGCAACTTAATAGCAAGTGTTTTCATTTGTCTTTGGTAAAAATAGCTACATTTCACCATCAAAACTGTCGAAAAGCTTGTAAAAAGTCGACAGTTTAGCCAAAATCGGCCATTTTGGTCGGAAAATCTATGTTTTTTTCGTAGTTTTTAATGAATAATTGTAAAGTCTTACGTTTCCGAATAGTAAAAAACCAATTTGAAATAATTCCACTATTTATATTTGAAAAAGCTGCCCCACCCCCGCTAATGCGAAAGAACCCTTCTAAAACCATGTAAAAGCAATTTTTTTTGCGTTGTAAGCATTTTTGATTGATCTCCTAGACATACCTCATGCGTCTCGTCAATACGCCCGCTTCGCAAACGTCTTCGAGCCTCCAATGCTTCCACCAAACTCTCCAAACGGCTCTACACAAGGTTACACATCTTTTAGGTGAATTTAGAAAACTTACGAACACACGTTCGCTGTCCTCGCCGGAATTTTGCGTAGCCCTGAATATTTTAGGCTTTTTGCACATCAAAGCAAAAACCTTTCTGTATCGGCTAACGATTGGGTCCCACCAGGGCCTCTTTCCGGAAACTCGACAGCTTGAATCACATTCCGGAACCTATTTTCCGTGTAATTCGTGAAGGTTGGGTCATGGCGCTCGCCCTCTGATGGTCTGATTTCAATCGGCGGGATCGATATTGGGATCTAGAACCGTATATCATGATATCCCAAATGATTACTACCCCCGGAACCGGAAAGCTCTCCTCGCTTGCCCGACTGGTCGATTCTCCGGATTCTGGGCTTTCTTCAACGCTAGGAGTCGATGAAGGAGAAGTACGTAATGAAGGGCGTTCGCTGCTCCCGCTCGCCGAATTCAGCATAACATCAGGGTTTAACATTCGAAGCAAGGGCCCTCGCTCTCTGGACACACGGAAGGTTGCTAACTCGGCCTAAAATCAACAATACATCTGAATTAAAATAAAAATCACCATCAACTGCTTGTGCAGCTCGCCCAGCTCTTCCATGGCCACTTTTTCCAAAAATGACATGCTGCTGAAAGGGGATAGGTCCCGAATAAAGTATCAAAAAAAATCCACCTGTTTGCCCCATCGTCGAGTGAACGTTTTTCAGCTTCCTGCAGCCCATCATCGATGAGACGGCGAATGCAGCGCCGGATATTCAGCTTGTCCTCCAGTAGTTTTGTTTTCATTTCTGACAGAAAATTTTCGGTTCTTTCGCATTATCGGGGGATTTTTTTTGTATTCTGTAATCTAAATTCTTGTAATTTTGGCCGAAAACGTGCATTTTCGATTTCGTTATCAAAATTTGCAAAGTTTTTGCGATTAGGGACAATAAAAAACAGTTTAGAATCACTTCCGGACTTTATATTTACAAATTGGATTCTAGGAAATCATTTGTCCCCCCCGATAATGCGAAAGAACCGCGTTTCCCCAAGTCATTAAAAAACTCATTAATTTATGAAAGTTACGTAGATAGTTTCTATAATATTTTTATGTGAAAGAAGATCATTTAAATTTCTGGACGTTTTTCGCTTGCCCATAACACCATCTAATTCCCCGTTGGCAAATAGCCAATCATTTGGTAGGGGCGGGGCGGTCGCGTTGCGGGAGGCGCCCCCAGCCGGCACAGCACCCCCATGCGGTTGCTTTTTCGGCTATCTTCCCCTCACTCCCTGGACTTGTCCTCCACGCGGCCACCCACCCCCTATCGACTCGGCCCCGTTCCTGAAAATTCTATGTCCCCTACCGGGCGTCTGTGAAACGCATATGCGCCCGTTCCTTTCGTCATCCCCACCCCTCCAATGTCTTCCCCATACCTTTACAGGCACATTCTGATGTGCACTAATGGCTGTCTGCTCTTCCCGCTATCGATTGATACCAACATGTTGGGATATCTAAAACAGTCTTACGACCCCTTTTTTGGTGTCTTTTGTCGTCTGCCAAATCACGGCCATCTGGGGCAGCTCATACCTTAACTTAGCCCACTTTTAAAAGCCGGAACTTTTCGAGTGGGGAGGGCTACTCTGCTTTCTGAACCTAGACTGGGATCAGACTACGCGCACTGTCAAAAACCTAAACTTATCCCAACGTAGCCTAAAAATAAGACTAATCAAGGTACCATGCCTCAAACTTGCATTATTAACTAAAAACTTCCCATCCCGTCCCGGATTTGGGGTTTTTGGTGACTTGGTATTCTTGGTCTCGGTGCTCTGCCGCCTGCGTCTCTCCACCGGTCCACTGACTCACTGTCTCGGAACCCCTTCTCCATCCCCCGCTGCGGCGTTCGCTAGCTCCCCGAAGAGGCGGGCTATATTTTGAGAGCCGGCCCGTGTTGCGTAGATGATAACAACGCGAAACACCTCCGCCGAAAAGGGAGAATGGCAAACCGGGGGAAAATTCTGTGAACTGTCTTGTTTTCTATTGATGACGCACTCACTCTTCTATCATAGTCTTCCCGTTTAGCCGCCACCAATGACCGAAGTCGCGGCCCAGCTACCTTATACCAATGGCAACACCAATGAGGTAAAAGAAGAGCTCAAGAGCAGGTATGAACTCTCACCGGATTCGTCAAATTTAGCTTGTAGCCAAAACTCGCCCACAAAAATCGCTGTCCCGGCGCCCAAGGACGAAAATGGTGGCTACCTCGATGAAGATGACATCCCATGGGCTGTCCGTCTCCAAATGGAGGCCGCTGAAAAGAAACCGGTACATAGCCTGGAACTTTTCTCAACTTTTCTAGAAAGAAGAACCGATTGATGTCGACGATCTACCTTGGAGCGAGCGAATGAAGTTGGAGGAGCAAAAGGCATTTAATCTTTTCAGTATTCGATGGTGACTTTTAGAAAGACAAAGAGAAGGAGAAAAAGCCCAAGGAAAAATCCAAACGGCGGAAAGAAGAAAGTGATAGCGAAGACGACTACAAGCCTCAGGTTGGTCTTATGGCAATAATTTTAGTGGCTCCTTTAGAAAAAGAAAGAAAAGAAGGACAAGAAAGATAAAAAGCGGAAGTACGCCGATTCGGATGATTCCGACGATTACAAGGAGGTAAACTTTGTAGAAAGACGAATACGAATTTTTCAGAAAAAGAAATCGAAGTCCAAGAAGGAGGAGAAAAAAGATTCGAAGCGGACTAGCGTGAGTAGCAGCGCCAAGTCGTCTCCGGTGAAGAGCGGCGGAAGAAAGAAGAAAGAGGAAGAGAAGGAGGACGTGTGGGAATGGTGGAAGGAAGAGAAAACAGACGATTCGATCAAGTGGAAGACGTTACAACATATGGTGAGGCATTATTGTTACTACGCGCTCCGCCGCGTCCAAACGTGTATGTTTTATTCGAATTTCTTTTAGGGTCCCGTCTTCTCGGCCCCTTACGAGCCGTTGCCGTCGCACGTCAACTTCTTCTACGACGGAAAGGTGGGTTTTGGCATTGTTCGACATTTCACCGATCTTTAGGTGGTCAAACTTGGGGCCGCCGCCGAAGAAGTGGCTGGATTTTACGCTCGGATGCTCGACCACGAGTACACGACGAAGGAGATGTTCAACAACAATTTCTGGAAGGATTGGCGAAAGGTATGGTTTTTTTATCCAGAGAAAAAAATCTTTTAGACAATGACTGCGGCCGAGCGGGAATTGATCACTGACTTGAAGAAGTGCGACTTCCGCCAGATTGACGAGCACTACAAACTCCTTTCTGAACAGCGCAAAGCCATGACGAAGGAAGACAAGTTGAAATTGAGGGTAAGTGATTTCAAAGTTTAATTGTATACGTATTTTAGGAGAAAAATGAGGCCGACATGAAGGTTTACGGGTTCGCAATTATCGACGGGCACAAGCAGAAGATAGGGAATTTCCGGTTGGAGCCCCCGGGTCTCTTCCGTGGTCGTGGTGGCCATCCGAAGATGGGTAAATTGAAGCGTCGCGTCATGCCGGAAGATGTGATCATCAACTGTTCAAAGTATTTTTTCGTTTTTTACGTATACTTTTCTTTAGGTGCTCCGAGATCCCGAAGCCTCCCCCTGGCCATAAGTGGAAGGAGGTCCGACACGACCCAAAGGTCACTTGGCTGTGCTGCTGGACGGAGAACGTCGGCGGGCAAAATAAATACATGATGCTGAACGCGAACAGCAAGATAAAGGGCGAGAAGGACTACTCGAAGTTTGAGACGGCTCGACGCCTCAAGACTCGCATTGACAATATTCGGGAGGTCTACCGTGGCGACTGGAAGAGCAAGGAGATGAGGCTTCGACAGCGCGCGGTTGCATTGTACTTTATTGATAAGGTATGGGAAACTAGCGCTGATACCTTGAAGATTGTCAAAATGTGGAAAATTCTATTTTTTTTAGCTGGCTCTTCGTGCGGGTAACGAAAAGGATACCGAAGAAGCCGCAGACACTGTTGGTTGCTGCTCTCTTCGTTGCGAGCACATCAACCTCCACGAGGAACTGGATGGGCAAAAGTATTTTTATTTTCCCAGCTCCAAATCTGCTTTAGTTACGTGGTAGAATTCGACTTCCTCGGAAAGGATTCCATTCGTTACTACAACAAAGTGCCCGTCGAAAAAACTGTCTTCAAGAATCTCAAGCTGTTCAAGGAAGGCAAGGAGCCGGATGACGACCTGTTTGATCGGCTTGATGTAAGGGATTACTTGCACAACGTTTTATGTTAATTTTAGACCTCCACTCTTAACCAACATCTTCAATCGCTCATGCCGAACTTGACGGTCAAGGTGTTCCGTACCTACAACGCATCCATCACGTTGCAGGATCAGCTGGACAAATTGACAAATCGTAAGGGCAATTCGCTAGCATAAGACCCCCTTTATAGCGAAAGACAACGTGCACCAGAAGATCCTCTCCTACAATCGCGCCAATCGACAGGTCGCCATCCTGTGTAACCATCAGCGTGCGGTGCCAAAGACTCACGACGCGAGCATGGCGAATTTGGAAAAGAAGGTAAGATGGCCTAAACAGCTTCGCAGCATTTTTCTGCTTTAGATCAAAGACAAGAAGAAAGAGCTGAAGGATGCGAAGGCCGAGTACGAGAAGGCAAAGTCCGGTGACAAGGAGAAGGCTAAGAAAAAGATGGATCGATTGAAGGACCAGTACAAGAAGCTGAAGATCAATCGCACTGATAAGGTACGCTAATTTTTTGGCGGGGCACTAACTGTTTTTTTAGGATGAGAACAAGCAGATTGCTTTGGGTACTTCAAAGCTGAACTATCTCGATCCGCGGATCACGGTCGCCTGGTGCAAGAAGAACGATGTGCCAATTGAAAAGGTTTAATTCCCTTTCCAGCTTCGATATTTCTTTTAGATATTTTCCAAGACTCATCGCGACAAGTTCCGATGGGCGCTCGATATGGCTGATGAAGAATTCGTGTTCTAAAGACGGCTTTCATTTCTGTTCGTAGTCATCGTTGGGGTGCGCCCAATATTTTTAGTTCTCCTACTACTCGTTGCTGGTCTAACCTTAATTATTTCTTGTCTCCCTTCCCCGCGCCTCTCTCAACCGACTATCGGTTTTTCAGACTGTGTTAACTGGAGTATTTTTCCTTGTTAGGCTTTTATACCTGGTTCTTTTACTGTGCTTCCCCGTTTCGGCTGATTGACTGTTGTAATGTTCCTAAGATAATAAATAAGGGTGATTTTGATATGTAAATGTAACAGACATGTGTAAACAGACATTTCGATGTTGAACGCTCGGGACGAAGCAACAAGTCTTTATCGTGGAAGAATATTAGTAATTACCATGGCCCAAAATTATTTGCGGTCAGCGTGAAGACTGGCTTGTCGCCTCTCCATATGTTCGTTTTCGTACCCCAATTCTGTCCAAACTTGGGCCGCAAGGTTTCGGCGCAGAATTCCTCCGGTTTCACATCAAGTCCCTGCGCCAAAGCATAGATTCTCCTGTTCTGAAAAATGATTCTTCACTTCCGTTCTGATACGATCCTCTTGCCAATTGTTAGAGCGATGGACAAGGCCTACCATTTTAGGGGTGCTGAGGAATTATCAAAAAGCATCGTCCCTTCCGGCAACCGGATGGATTTGACGATATCCTCCAATGTTTCCGTTAAAGTAACGATGCAGCTGCGTCTGAAGATAATAAAATCAGAAAATTCTAGGCTCGATGTAGTATGTAGCGTCATCGGGAACGAGCAACAACCTGAACACGTCGCGAGGGTGCAAAAAACTGGGCCATGTCGACATGCATGTAGAAAATCCGTGTTTGTGTGCCTTGAGGTGGATGCTGAAAGGTTGGTAGAGTACAGACTCTGCACTGCAGAGATACCGAAAACCTGGGTCTTCTGACGGGAAACCGTACCTTACAGATGAGGAATGTGAGTAGCGCTTTCAGAGCATCCAGAAGGGACTCTAGCTGATTTTGGTTTTGAATAAAGGGTTCCAACATTAGTTCGGAACAGCCACCAAGCTGGAACAATAAATAAAGGGAGCCCGAAGCACGAAACCCTCTGGATTTCACACGAGCTTACCGCCTCTGCCCACTCCAGGAAGTCGGAGGTCGGAGAGTCGTCGTAGGTAAAACGGTCACGCCACGCTGATAGAGGCACGTTTTTGTTCTAAAGCATTATGGTGATGTTTCAGGAATATTACGCTCATAGAAGAAAGACTTACAAAGTCTGGCCTCTTGCGAAGCCGAGACATGATGCTCTTTATACGTGTCAAGCTCACCTGAAACAATCGTAATTACCCAATTGCATGTGGGCGACCGAAAAAAGAAGAAGTACCTGGAATGTCCGGCTAAGAATCGTCATTGAGCGGCGTTGAGCATTCGGCAATTGAGGAATCACGGTGGAAAATCTACTTCGATCCTGGTGGCCCCACCGGGGCGAATAAAAATCGAAATCCTGCTCAATGGCTCTCAGCTGCTCGAAGAGCCTGCATTTCTCCAAATTGGCAAGCTGTACCGTCAATTGCCTAAAATCGAAGTTATTCAGATGCTCACACACTGACCAAGTTTTATTCACAGCCTTATTTTCCCATTTGAGATGGACAGACTTGGTGGGACGCATGCTGTATTCGATTTTTGAACTGGACTCCGGCTCAACTTCGATATCCGCAAGCCATTTCTGCAAATCCAAACGGTTTTTTTTGCCATTCGCATTTTCTTACATCTATCCGGCGGAACCTCATCGAATGCACGGGTCCAGCAAGGTATGATGGAGCGCTGAGGCCGTTGCGAACAAGGCCTTAAAAATACGAAAATATCTGCTCTAATTTTACCCATACCTTATTAACGGCCCGAAAGCGATACTTTGCATCGGGATTCATCTTGCGGTAGATTTCCCTCAATAACAGTAAGGGTAGCTCCTTCACCGGAAATGTCTAACATGTTTTCTGAAATTGAAGCAAGAACATGAGGCTTTTATGAAAAACGAATGGGATTAAACTATATTCAATACTAAGTCGATTGCCGAGCTAGGTTTTAAAAATTAAGTGAATTTTTCGGAGAACTGTCAGCAACTAGAATGATCGAGTATCGAGAAAATGGCGGGTGACTTCCGGGCCCCGATGCCGCCTGCAGAAATATATCCCTAGGTGCTGTTTGCTAGGCCAAATCCGGGAATTATATGGATCTTTCGACGCTTTCCCAGAAATTTTTCTGGCAAGGCGGCAGTTTGCTTAGTTATTATACTATGATTACTATGATCAATATGAGGTACGGGGTTTTTTACGCACTTCAATATCTCATTTCGGTTGTTCGGTCCGCCTTTTTTATCGTCCTAGGCCCATCAATCAAGGCGGTTTTTGTACGTTGTCAATCTGGGGCGTACTGTACCCATACGTATCCGATAGACGGTTCTGTGTTTCGATGTTGAACACGTAAAATAATCTCCATTCAAAAAGACTTTATCGCGGAAAAATAGTAACAATTTCACTACCATGGCCCAAAATTATTTGCGGTGAACGTGAAAACCGGCTCGTCGCTCTCTCAAATGTTCGTTTTCGTACCCCAATGCTGTCCAAATTTGGGCCGCAAGGTTTCAGCGCAGAATTCCCTCCGGTTTCACGTCAAATCCCTGCGCCAAAGTATAGGATTCGCGTGTTCTGAAAAATGAAATGATTCTTCACTTCCGTTCTGATAAGACTTCCTTGTCAATTGTTAGAGCGATGCACAGCGGCTTACCATCTTCGGGGGGTGCTGAGGAGATTGTCGAAAAGCATCGTCCCTTGCGGCAACCGGACGGATTGACGATATCCTCCAATGTTTCGTTAGAAGTACCGATGCAGTTGCGTCTCGAGAGAATAAAAATCAAGAATATTCTAGGCTCGATGCGGTGAGCAGCGCCATCGGGAGGGTAAGTACCGACCTGAACACGTCGGGAGGGTGCATAAAACGAGGACATGTCGACGTGCATGTAGAAAATCCCGGTTGTGCTCCCTTAGCTGGACGCTGAAAGGTAGGCAAATACCAGAGAGATACTCAAAACCTGGGTCTGCTGACGTGAAAAGCCATTACCTTATCAGATGAAAAACGTGAGTAGCGCTTTAAGAACGTCCAGAATTGGCTCTATCTGATTGCGATCATGAATAAAGCTCATCCCTACTACGGGCAAGCGAACGGACTGCAATATGAAAGAAGTTTTACAAAGTAATGGAAAATACAAGCAAAAAACCGTCTGGATTTCCAGCGCGGCTTGCCGTCTTGCTGCCCATTGAAGAAAGTCGGAGATCGGAGGGACTGTCGTAAGATGAAACGGTCACGCCATGTCGATAGAGACACATTTTTGTTCTAAAGCATTATGTTGATGTTTCATTTTCATTTTCACACATTTGATGTTTTCAGGAATATTACGCTCATCGGAGGAAGACTTACAAAGTCTGGCCTCTTGCGAAGGCGAGACATGATACTCTTCATGCGTGTCAAGCTCAACTAAATTATTCTTATTATCGATTAAATGTCAGCGGCTGCAAGAAAAAATAGAAGTACCTGGAATGTCGTGCTCTGAATCGTCATTGAGCGGCGTTGAGCGTTCGAAAGTTTAAGGTATTATGGAGGAAAATCCATTTTGATCCTCGTCATCCCATCGCGACCCGAGAAAATAGAAACGCT